ACACAGAACTCAAGGAGCCTCCTGGAATCAACGTATCAGCGGAAAGCTGAGCAGTTAATGTCAGGTGAGAATTGATTTAAGGTGAGATTTGCTCAAGTAGTCAAGGAACTTGCTGGTGACAATGTAAGTTGTTAGGATTCTCTGAACCAGAAGTTAAAGCCGGGGTACTCTGACCTCGTGATTTTACTCCTGGAACTTTTTTGGGTTCCTAATGAGTTCACCAGAGAAATACAAAGTGGAAGTAACTATCTTCCTGGACAATCTACTTTGTTTCCTTCTTCCTTTAAAAAAGAAAAACAAACTAGTTATAGATGAGTTTTACAATTTTGTATTCTTCTTTTTCTCTGAATATTTTTCATAGTATGCTTTGTAAATATTATTGTTAGAAAAACACTGGCACATGAAAAATTCCAAAATAAAAGAAAAAGATGCAAGATAACCAAAAAGACAGTACCTTCAGAATTCTATCCTGAAATTACCTTGGGTGCACATTTCTAGACACTTTTCTGTGGGCGGGAGGCAGTATAGATCGCTCACTTGAAAAACCCTCTTATACTGGATACAAGTGGTTTTCAACTCTTCTTTTCTGAACAGGGTTCACGCAACTGCTATGCACAGGCTGGAGTCGCAGTGGTGAGATCACTAGGCTCATCCAAAATGCTGCCTCCTGGGTTTCAAGTAAAATTAACTGTGCCTCACCCCCCTAGTAGCTGGAATTACAGGCTGGTGGCACCACTACAACCGGCCTAATTATGGTCGTTTCGAGCTCAGGGCTGTGATCCCTGCTGTGTCTCCTGGGATCAGGGGCCTCTCCCCCCTCTCTACAACCCGTCGGTTTCCTTCTAGAAATTAGGCGAATTTTCTTCCAGACAATAACTTTGCTCATGTGTCGGGCACAGAGAGACGGGTCATAGCGAGTTTCAGCAACCGACTGGACATAGGGAGAAGCAGTCAGATCAGGGGATGAGAGGGTACCCCGTACCTCCCTGATTGCCCAGGACCCTGGCACGTATCCTCACCTGTATGACGGATCGCCTGTCCCACTACAGTCAGCAGGCAAGAACCCCGATCAGCTCTGCCCTCCAGTACAGGCGGCTGCCAAGAAACCCCATCTATCTCCTCTTGTGGCCCTAACATCAGGATGCATTTGCACAGCTTCATGCCATTTCTCTCTCTATACCAGGGGAGACACGTCTGTTCCACCACCAGGTTGGGACGCCGCGCTGGGTGAGTCAGCTCCCCTCCAGAACACACAGCCTGGAGCTGGCTCTCCAAGGACCGCCCTCAGTGCGAGCGAGAGAGAGGCATGGTCTCCTAACCAGCTGCTGGCCCCACCATTCCACCCACCGCAGCCTCTGGGAGTCGTGGGCTCAGGGTCCCTCCTTCGCGCCGCTGCCACACTACACAGCTACTCTCCCTGCTGGCCGCGCCAGGACAGATTGGTTGGGCTCTGTCCACAGGCAAAAACTACCATCTCCTTCTGCTCCCCAGAAAACCATTCCAGCAGACAAGACCATGTCTCTCCTTTCATGCTCAACACCAGGAGGCCATCACAACCCTTAGCAGATAGTAACCGCTCTCCCCACCGGTATTCGTCTAAAGAGGCTTTCACCGTTGATGGCCACAAAATCACCACACCAGACCTCCCCAGGGAGTGAATTTTCTTAACATGTCATCGCACCAGAGCAGCGACAATAAAAACATAAAAGCAGCAATCTGGTAGATTGTACACAAACATTTCCTAGCGAGTCAACTCTCACGAGTGAGGGGCAGGTGTATTCCATTAGATGGATCAGCTGGCAGGGCGGTAGCAGCGTTTTCTCTGTAAAGAACGATGGAAACTCTTTCTCTAAGGCTCGCAGGCCACACTGTGTCTCCCATCATCAATACTCAAACCCTCCCTGTTGCAAGAAAGCCAGTAGACAACCTGTCAAAATGACCATGGCCGATGTTTCCCGAAACCTTTCTTTATGGACGTGGAAGTTTGCACGTCACGTACTTTTCTTTTTTTTTTTTTTTTTTTTTTCTGGAGCCTGGAGTCTGGCGCTCTGTCCGCCCAGAGAGCATGGAGATAGCAGTGGCGGATTCGCTCACTGAACAGGCTCCGCGCGCCCGGGTTGACGCCATTCTCGCTGTCCTCCAGCCTCCCGAAGTAGCTGGGACCTACAGGCCGCGCACTATCGTCTCGGCTACTTTTTTCTGTATTCTTTTTAGTAGCAGATGGGGTTTACCCGTGTTAACCAGGAGGTTCGCTTCCTGACCCTCGTGATCCGCACGGGTCCCGCCTCGGCCATTCGCCAAAGTGCAGTGGGGATTACAGGGCTTGAGCACCGCCCCGCGAGTCACGTACTTCTTTATCATAGTGTCACAAGATATGATCCTCTACTTTCCATGTTTTCCAACCATGTTAAACATGGTAATAAGTCACTTTACTCATGCAGGTCCCATACAAAACACGGCAGCAGAAATCTCGTTTTTAGACCAGCGGCACGCTGACCCCTGGATGGCGCATTAGAGCCTTTGGTGTCCCCCCACCCAGGCGCTTTCCAGGAGAGGGAGAGCAGTGCTGATCGCCACCTCCCCCCCATCTCTCTAGGGGAAAGGCGGCAGCCTGGTGCTGTATGAAGTTTGGGCTGCAGAATTCTTTGGGCCAGCAACTACACCCACAGGCCTTGAGGACAAAACCAGCCCTGACTTCGGCACTCAGGGGCAGCCTGACAGAGGGTGAAGTGGATGGAGGATCGCAGGTGGGGCGGGATCAGGGAAGGGCCTCGGAAGAATGGGTTCGGATGATGGACAAAGAATCTTTGTTACGAGCTGTGACCTTCATCTCCTCTCCTGATCC